GTACAAGTAACGAAGAAAATGTCGATAAGGTTGTTTCATTTAATGACTAGCATCAGCAACTTGTAGGGGCGATAATCCAATGATTACGGTAATGTCCGGCAGATGGAGTAGGAGTAACTTTCGATTTATGAACCAATGAAAACGAAGTACTGATACTCAGGGCCAGGGGCGACAGTAACATGCTGAAGAGCATTGAAAATGCTCTTAGCATAAAAATGTTTAATTCGCCTCATCCGTGGTGGGTGCGTTTCTGCAACTTTTATGAACACTTCTGTTCTGTCTCTAAAATGAGCATAGCCTATGGAAATGTATCTATAATAATTGTGAATAATGACAATTAATTACCGTTATAGAGACATCTTTTCTGTCTAAACCTACACCTAAAATTTGAGAATGATTCATACCGCACTTCTCAAGAAATAGGATAACAAAAATTGTTTTAGGACGAACGGACGGACAGATCAACGTCGAAGGGCAGTTTGAACAGCTTTCCATCATAAAGTAATACTTCATTCGGTTAATGAAAACTCATTTTCACATTACAATCCTTAAAAGAATCAAAGCAGATTATTTTTAACAGATGAACACTAAACTAATTATATATTTAACTTATAACGTCAACAGATCACTGAGTAAAAAGCCAAATGACACGGGTTCCTGTTTCAATGGGGAAAACAGAGACAAACTAAATAACTAAAAGTACCGGCATTTGACACTTTTCCACATTACGTTTAAACCAAACAGACAAAAGCGTCCACACTGCAAACCAGTGAAAACTTGAGGTTAGAAACTACTCTGCTTTAAACAGTTAAACAATGAGGGGTTTCCGAAAGGGGAAGATTCCCGGAAATCTGTGAAGACCTACTTCCGTAACTGTGGAAACGTATTTATCACGTTTCCGATGTCTCGCCGAACAAAACCTTTGTTGTTGACCTATTTCTTTACATGTACACATGACTCAATATCTTAAAAAAAAAGTCACCAAGTTCATCTAACTTAATGTATGTCACAACGGTACTTTAACCCCAATAGTTTACCCCATCAATATTCGGTAGACAATGTATTATACACACAACATGCCAATAAGCTAGGAGAGCTCTTACTTGGCGGGCACCAGTATATTGTAATAACTGATTTTTTTCCCTGTATCCTCAACGATAAAAGCGTACAACATATTTCAATATTGACGCCTTTCTATTATCGTCGAGTACGTGGAGACGTTAACTTTTAATTTGAAACGGCTTATTCATTTCTATATTGCTTTTTGTGATTGAATCAAACTGAATATAAACAACTTGTTCTGGTTGACAAACTTGCCACGGGCTTCAATTTATATTACAGTTGTATTTAATTTCCTTAGAATTTCATGGATCTGGAAGATATGTATTCATTCGACCAATAACTCATTGTAAGTCTTTAAATTAGCTGTGTGTTTCTTATCTTCAAGGAAAACGATCCTTCCCCAGAATTAAGTATGGCTTTAACAATTTGATGGATGTTTATCTGTCAACTGACAATATTTTTCCGAAAGATGAAATGTCAGGCATTCAGGAGTAAAGACTCTAGGCTATGACATTTTCTCTCGACAAATTATCTAAGAAATAATCCGACTTTATTTTGCAGTCAAAGTATTAACATCGCAAGATATCGATCGTAAAAATTGTCTCTCTAACTATACAATCGACCTCCCATCTCTTTGTGGTGACTACCAACAAGTCATCTTGCCATGGAGATAGTTTACGTATCCATAGCAACCGAACGCTTTGTATCCTTGCCGCTAAACCATTAGCTCTCTTCAATTACCATGCACAATTGAAATATTTTAACACCAGAAATAACAGTGTAGACTGTAAACACTGATGTCACCACATAAATAAAACGATAACAGAATAGTCCATACAGACAATACCAAAGGGGTTAGACCTAAGTGAAGTACTTATATCACAACAGTAAACAACACGATAACAGAACAGTCTACAGACCATACCAAGGGGTTAGACATAAGTGAAGTACTTATATCACAACAGTAAACAACACGATAACAGAACAGTCTACAGACCATACCAGACCATACCAAGGGGTTAGACCTAAGTGCGGTACTTAAATCACAACACAAACAACACGATAACAGAATAGTCTACAGACCATACCAAGGGGTTAGACCTAAGTGCGGTACTTCAATCACAACACAAACAACACGATAACAGAATAGTCTACAGACCATACCAAGGGGTTAGACCTAAGTGCGGTACTTCAATCACAACACAAACAACACGATAACAGAATAGTCTACAGACCATACCAAGGGGTTAGACCTAAGTGCGGTACTTAAATCACAACACAAACAACACGATAACAGAACAGTCTACAGACCATACCAAGGGGTTAGACCTAAGGGGTTAGACCTAAGTGCGGTACTTCAATCACAACACAAACAACACGATAACAGAATAGTCTACAGACCATACCAAGGGGTTTAAGTGCGGTACTTAAATCACAACACAAACAACACGATAACAGAATAGTCTACAGACCATACCAAGGGGTTAGACCTAAGTGCGGTACTTAAATCACAACACAAACAACACGATAACAGAACAGTCTACAGACCATACCAAGGGGTTAGACCTAAGTGAAGTACTTATATCACAACAGTAAACAACACGATAACAGAACAGTCTACAGACCATACCATACCAAGGGTACTTATATCACAACAGTAAACAACACGATAACAGAACAGTCTACAGACCATACCAAGGGGTTAGACATAAGTGAAGTACTTATATCACAACAGTAAACAACACGATAACAGAACAGTCTACAGACCATACCAAGGGGTTAGACATAAGTGAAGTACTTATATCACAACAGTAAACAACACGATAACAGAACAGTCTACAGACCATACCAAGGGGTTAGACCTAAGTGCGGTACTTAAATCACAACACAAACAACACGATAACAGAATAGTCTACAGACCATACCAAGGGGTTAGACCTAAGTGCGGTACTTAAATCACAACACAAACAACACGATAACAGAATAGTCTACAGACCATACCAAGGGGTTAGACCTAAGTGCGGTACTTAAATCACAACACAAACAACACGATAACAGAATAGTCTACAGACCATACCAAGGGGTTAGACCTAAGTGCGGTACTTAAATCACAACACAAACAACACGATAACAGAATAGTCTACAGACCATACCAAGGGGTTAGACCTAAGTGCGGTACTTAAATCACAACACAAACAACACGATAACAGAACAGTCTACAGACCATACCAAGGGGTTAGACCTAAGTGCGGTACTTAAATCACAAATCACAACATAAACAACACGATAACAGAACAGTCTACAGACCATACCAAGGTGTTAGACCTAAGTGAGGTACTTATATCACAACACGATAACAGAACAGTCTACAGACCATACCAAGGGGTTAGACCTAAGTGCGATACTTCAATCACAACACAAACAACACGATAACAGAATAGTCTACAGACCATACCAAGGGGTTAGACCTAAGTGCGGTACTTATATCATAACACGATAACAGAACAGTCTACAGACCATACCAAGGGGTTAGACCTAAGTGCGGTACTTATATCATAACACGATAACAGAACAGTCTACAGACCATACCAAGGGGTTAGACCTAAGTGCGGTACTTAAATCACAACATAAACAACACGATAACAGAACAGTCTACAGACCATACCAAGGGGTTAGACCTAAGTGCGGAACTTATATCACAACACAAACAACACGATAACAGAACAGTCTACAGACCATACCAAGGGGTTAGACCTAAGTGCGGTACTTATATCATAACACGATAACAGAACAGTCTACAGATATCATAACACGATAACAGAACAGTCTACAGACCATACCAAGGGGTTAGACCTAAGTGCGGTACTTAAATCACAACACAAACAACACGATAACAGAACAGTCTACAGACCATACCAAGGGGTTAGACCTAAGTGCGGAACTTATATCACAACATAAACAACACAAGACTGGAATAGTTTACAGGCCATGGCAAGTTTTCATTTTATGTCGACACATAAACGATCCTATACCAGCAGACCAATGATGTATGCCGAGGCAATTGAGCAGTAGTTCAAAGTCTATTATCGCCCCTATGACAGCTATTGACTGTTTGAAGAGCGTCTCTTTGTACTATCTGGTAGCTTTCTCCATTGAACAAGATAACGGATTGCCCGTCGTATCCCCACCCTCCCGACGATATCTCTACAGAGCGTTAGGGTTCGTAACCCCTGGAATTTAGCGGGTGTTGCATGCTATATAAAGCATTGCGGCATAGTGTCTTGTGAAAATATAAATTTATTTTACGTTGTTTTTAACGTGAATAATCACAATTATTTGCTTGATAGAGCTTCTGTTAAGACCATGTTAGTAAGCAAATGATGCATGTTTTCGATAATGGAGGAAAACCAGACAGTTCGTCTCAGCCTATGCCTCGGTGGAAAGACGTCTGTAGCACACGGTGACATGTACGTATTTCATACAGTCGATTATGACGATAACGACCACCGTTGCTGGTGCTCCTGTCGAAAGGTCGTAAAAGCGGACGTCATGCCCGTTAAATAAATAAGTTTTCACCTGGAGAGATATCATGGTTACTGTTTATAATCTCTCTGTGGGATTGGCTATGCTATGATTTCACTCGCGCAAGATTGAACTATTTTCGGGTCATGTTTACATGGTAAAAGGTCACGATATCGATTTTGATAACACTGTTATTGTTTTAACAATGGTTATCGTCGCTTGTGTTAAGCACTCAAATGAATAGGTGATCAAAACGCAGACGTATTTATTGTGTCAACACCCGGAAACTGTAGCCAGCCACACACTTACATGTTGAGTGACCCACGTGTGTACATTCCCAACCACCAAATTGAAGGATAATAATAGCTCATAATGTCAACAAATTGAACAAAACGAACAGACGAAACGAAACTCACCTTATCTAGTCGACAGAGCACGTGTCTGGAAGGTGCCGCCATATTACAAGTTATATAGTGTACTATGGAGGCATATACCGTCCTTCTTCATGGACGAGTGGAAAGATCGGCCATGCGAGGAATTATTGATGTCGGGAGTCAATTTCTGTCGTGTATATCACTCCCACGAGCCATGGCGGAGATGCGTGATCGGCCTTCAATGACCTTGACAGTCTAAAGATCCTGGTCGAAGTGGTGGTAGTGTGGTGTACATTTTAAATAACCTTCTCAACCCAAGAAAGTGATCGTATCGACGATATTGTGCACTAATGCACGGAGGTCTTAAACGAGATGTTTAAATTCTACCAGATATGGCTATTTTCAGTTTTTCCGAGGTTTTGCTTAGAAGCGTTATGGAAGAACCATATAGCTGCTTAGAAGCTTTATGGAAGAATCATATATTTAATTTTTCGTCAACGAGCTTAAGATATAAAAAAAATAAACATAAATCATGTTTCAACCAAACCTAAACAAATATTTTAGCTTATATTTATTACTATTTTTAACCCGCATGAAGCGCGTGAGGGGTTTTGAGAACCGGAAAGTGTATACTTTTGGTTTATATAGATAAGTATATCACCTATTGAGATCGTTAACTACCGCCTACTTACCTTTTTTTGTAATGTACAATAGATTTTAGTGAAGATTTATCTAATTTTAGAGTGCGTTTTTTTTTTACTTTCTCGTGAAAACGATGTATGCAGTGTATACGACACACGTGTACTGGTTTGATGTAGAATGTGAATGTCAATTTTTGCTACAAGTTAGATATTTGATCCTGTTGGGTATCAGTCAGCAATGTACATATGTGTTTTTCCAAGACACTAAATCGATATTATGGAATGCATTTTGAGTTAAACAAATTATAGAATACAGTGCAAATGTATACTGAATTGTGCTCTTTGAATATTGAGGTGTTTCTGGTTTCTTTACTAAGCTCGATAGTCCTCGACGGTGATCCATACACTTGGGAATAGGTGAAACAAGAACGTGCTGCGTTGGATTAATTTTCAAAGTAGATTAAATAACATTCGTGAAAAGAAAACAAAACAAATGCACGAGTCTGTATTCCTTGATGTCAGTATCACACTTCATGATTGGCATGATCACAACATGATTGTGTCTACAGATAAGGCATCTTATACCCGTATCGTCCCTGCATACATAAAGACTTAGACTTACTACACTGTAATAGCACCTTTAACGTTATCCAATCTTTCCAAAGAAGAAATACTTGCTAATCATGTTTCATTACTAGAAATATTGAGATCGCAAGTTAATGATGATACGGACCTTCCACCTTTATTTTGGATTCCGTAACTTCACAAGAATCCATATAAAAGGGAATGTTATTGCTACATTGTCAAGTTATTCAATCTACATTTACCTGTATCCAAGTTCTTTCAAACCATTCTTTGTACTATCAGATCAAAGCTACGATGTTAATTGTTATGTTGGTTCACTCAATGCTGCCTTTCTGTGTTGTTTTAGTTCGGTCAGTGTTGCTTTCCTTTGATATTTTAGTCCACTCAGTGGTGTATGTGTTATATTATGTAATTCAGTGTTGCTTTCCTTTGATATTTTAGTCCACTCAGTGGTGTATGTGTTATATTATGTAATTCAGTGTTGCTTTCCTTTGATATTTTAGTCCACTCAGTGGTGTATGTGTTATATTATGTAATTCAGTGTTGCTTTCCTTTGATATTTTAGTCCACTCAGTGGTGTATGTGTTATATTACGTAATTCAGTGTTGCTTTCCTTTGATATTTTAGTCCACTCAGTGGTGTATGTGTTATATTATGTAATTCAGTGTTGCTTTCCTTTGATATTTTAGTCCACTCAGTGGTGTATGTGTTATATTATGTAATTCAGTGTTGCTTTCCTTTTCTTTTTTTGCTTCTGGAAAAGTTCCAATGGGTATTCGCTGGTAAAATACCAGTGGATTTTCACTGGACAAGTTCCCCTGGGTTTTCGTTGGTAAAATACCAATGCTCATCAGTGTAAACATGTATAGACCAAGTCGTATATACAGAGAACGTCTCGCTCCAGTTCATATAGCTGTATATTTCTCATGATGAAATCGATCATCTGTAGATAAATACTGTTGTCTGCTACTTCTGATTCAAATTTTACATGACGTAGTATCATAATCCATTGTTCTATTTGTCGGTCACGAACACAGATAAAGTAACTCACTAATATGAAGTAAAATCCCTCAAAAGAGATTTCCTAAAAAAAGTTCCTAACGACGAACACACTTTCTAAGATCTATTTTCTAGGTGTCTCGTAAACACACTTCGCTAGTCCTGAAAGTGTTTGATATTAAATTCATGAAAATGTGATATAGCTTTATATAGTTATCTGCTTGGCAATCACGTAGATCTGGTTTAATTTCTATCAGTATGACTTATCCGAAAGGTCATGTGATGAACTCGGCTAATTCCGATCAAAACAGTGATTTGCGGTCGACTCGCTTAATTTCAAGCTGATAATCTTGATCATTTTTTATGTTATAACAATGATTTACCTGTATCTCACTGCTGTGGCAATGAGTGACATGAACGGCACAGCTGTAACAGTATTTTACCTGTATCTCTCTGCTGTGACAATGAGTGACCTGTACTGCACAGCTGTAACAATGATTTACCTGTATCTCTCTGCTGTAACAATGAGTGACCAGAACGGTACAGCTGTAACAATGATTTACCTGTATCTCTCTGCTGTAACAATGAGTGACCAGAACGGTACAGCTGTAACAATGATTTACCTGTATCTCTCTGCTGTAACAATGAGTGACCAGAAGCTGTAACAGGTACAGCTGTAACAATGATTTACCTGTATCTCTCTGCTGTAACAATGAGTGACCAGAACGGTACAGCTGTAACAATGATTTACCTGTATCTCTCTGCTGTAACAATGAGTGACCAGAACGGTACAGCTGTAACAATGATTTACCTGTATCTCTCTGCTGTAACAATGAGTGACCAGAACGGTACAGCTGTAACAGTATTTTACCTGTATCTCTCTGCTGTGACAATGAGTGACCTGTACTGCACAGCTGTAACAATGATTTACCTGTATCTCTCTGCTGTAACAATGAGTGACCAGAACGGTACAGCTGTAACAGTATTTTACCTGTATCTCTCTGCTGTAACAATGAGTGACCAGAACGGTACAGCTGTAGATCTACTAAATACTAGTGCTACTGATTTTTGTGACATCTCACGTCAATATGATTTGACAAATGTGATAAGATAGACATACCATAGTCACTTTTACTCAAACGTTAATTGATCATTTTGTTTTAAGTGATACTGTTTGTTCAGAATCGGCCGTAGTTATTCCAGTAACTGGTAGTATAAGTAATCATAGTTGTTCTTGTAACCGTTGATACACGAGTACATCACTGGAAAACTTTTAAAAGGAAAATTTGGATGTTTACTAAAACAGATATTGTTAATCTGCGTTCAGATATTGTTTCTACAAACTGACAAATTTTATTGCATAGTTCAAATGATGTTGACGTAAAATGTTAACTTTTTACTTACAAACTTTCAACATATTAATAAAAAAAAACATCCCTACCAAATATATCACTGCAAGACCCAATGACAAGCCCTAGATGTCAAAGGGTTTAGGAAAGAAATTAGAAACAGATTTTAAGGAAAAGATATAAGGAACGGAAACAGCCTTTTCACTTAAAAGAAATGTAAGACAGCTCGAAATACAGTGAGCAATATATAAAAGTACGCCAAAGAATTCTTATGCTAGGATGGACACTTTTATTGAAAAAAAATTGTAGTAATGCTATGATTTACTGGAAACTTATACGATTGTTGTTAAACGGTAAACAGTCTACGGATATCCCTCCTTTGTACGACTCGGTCAAAGGTCACACATGGTGCTTCTAAATCTGCAATTCTAAATAACTTTCAAATCGGTCACGATAATTCAAATTCATCACTACTAATTTTTGAAACTAAATCTAACAATTTTATTTTAGGAAGTGTTAGATAAGTGTGTTGGATCCTAATAAACCCACAGGTCAGACGGTGTTAGTCACAAAATATTGAAAATAGCCGAATCTCTGAGCATTTTGTTAAACGAAGTATATCATCGTTGCCAATTTTCAAGTATGTGGAAACGCCAATTTTCAAGAAGGTTGAAACTGAATTAGCTGAAAATCATAGACCTATATCTTTACCGAGTTGTGTAGGGAAACTCGTTGAGCGTGTTATGTATAAATACATATATAATCATCTTGTATGTAATAATAATTATTATCTTCTCAACAAACCACTATCAGACTTTTTATCAAACCGTTTTACAACTCACCAGCTTATTGAATTACATCATATTATTCTTATGGCCCTAGAAAACAAAGTGTTTTGATTTCCTGTGATTTCTCCAAAGCGTTTGATCGTGTTTGGCCCAGACGTTTGTTATTAAAACTTGATAGATATTGTATCTGATGCCTAATTTTACTTGGTATTCTAACTGGAGTGCCAATCTTTACTACAAAATTCTTTCTTTATTCAGAGCTACACTTGCTATCCCTGGAACAGAGGCGTAAAAACCAGAAGATTAACCATGTTTTATGAAATTCATGCCGGAAATGCACCAGGATATCTTATATCATTATTACCTCCTACAGTTCAGGTTCTCCGAATTATATCTTACGAAATCAAAATCATCTCCAAAAACTTCTAAATAGCTTACAACTTACAAATTCGTATTTTTCAAGTGTGATATCTAACTGTAAAGAACAAGCCAAGGATAAACTAGTTTTAAAAATCGTACAAAAATGCGTAATCCTATTACCACTTTGTTTTATGATTATGGTTCGTGAAAATTGGATGTTTTACAATGTCGGCTAAGAAATAGAGCGAGTTTACTCAAATTTGACCTTCACCATCTCGTTTACAAGTACTTTCTGGTGACCCAAGCCTTAGTGAGGATAAAAATATATCAATAAGTCCGTCTGTACAAAATAACACAAAACAATGATTAAGTTAAAGGTTAGTTACTTTGTATTTATGGATATGTAATATATGTATAACATCTAAAAATCCAAA